TGACTGTTTACATTTCTTTTCAGGCAGTCCCTGAAAACTCAAACAAATGCCAGATTGCAAACCTGCTAAGTTCCCTATAAAGCCCTCTATTTGCCTTAAGGAAAACAGGGGCATTTGTTGTGATCCTGAGGATAAACATCAGGATATCTCCAAGCCAGTTGTGCAATGACATTTCTGGGAAGCTTGTGCTACTCTTACACGAAGTGTCCTTCTGAAGTGCGCCAGAATATCCCACAGAAACAGACCACTAATTCTACATGGAGGAGACAAGGTCCAGGGTGGGCACAAAGGCAAAACACCAGTTGTTTTCCACAGGAAATTCAGAAAAGTTGCCTCTCCCCCCCTCGGCTCTATTTCCCATAAAATGAATTAATCTTCAGAATTTCAAATCAACTTTGGCATGCTGCTTTTCCTCACTCTGGATGGTTACCTTTTTTTTTTCCTTCTTTTCTTCCTCATGGTAAAATGGAAAAAACAAAGGATAAAAATAACCCCCAAAATAAACTTTTTTAAAGACACTAAAAACCCAAACTATTTCATAGAAAACAAAGCACTACTAGAGAAAAATAGGCCATTTCTCATCAAGTGTCGTGATAGAAAATATTTGATGCAAACCATCCCTCGCTTTAGAAGAATTTTAGTGTCTCACAAGGAGTGTTAACCCTGATACCCTGCCAGATAGCAACTCAATTATGTCCAGCTCCTTTGAATTCCCCCTGGAGTGCCAAATGGGGACACTGGTTTTCTTTGCTCCCTTTCCTTAGGTATTCCTAGAGTAGCATTCTATTAAAGAGCTCTTTCCCCTGTCCTAGAAGTAAATTCACACTACTGTAACAGGCTGAATCTTGCATACAATTGATGTTTTGTTGACTGCTTTTGGAGTCTTCATGTCAGAAATGAGTTGTCAATCATCAATTATATGAAGCTGTCCTTGGGAGAATAATCTTTCAAGCTAAATACACCAAGAAGTTACCTGCATTCCTTCAGAATCCAATGACACAGAAAGTGAAATCCACACAGCAAAATCACACACAAAATCACTTTTCACAGCTACAGATTTTTCTTATATTCCACTCCGGAGCCAAGGCTTTGTTTAAGTGCTGTAGAAACACGGGGTAAAATCCTTGTCCCACCAAACTTCTAAGTACACCATGAAACAAACAGGCAAAGGCAACAGAGAAAGAGCCATGAGAAAACTAGGAAATAGCAAGTGTATTACATACTGTTAGCTATAGCTGAGAAATTCGGGCAATATCTGGAAAATCAGCAGAAATATAAGATCCATCAGCTTAGTTTTCAGGTTGCTTAGAACAGTCTCCTTTGCTTTTTACTAGTTCCAAGCAGAAGCATTCCATTAATGGAATTGTAAAACTTTCCCAGTAACCTCACTGGGAGGAGGAGTGCTTTTTTTTTTAAAAAAAAAAAATTGCAGTGGTTCTTGATTTTGCTGGAGTGTAGCATTGCAAGGGTTTCAGGAGAAGGATCTCAAGATGTGATAGGGCACACAGCAGGTTGCCTGTGCTCTTAAAGCAGGAGAGAAGGCCAGAGTCAGTACACTAGAGCACAGCCCCAGGCTGACCTACCACTGCTGAATGCTGCAGAGCTGCTTCCATATCATCACAGATTTTCAAGCTAGAAGTCTGGTGAATACCTAGGCAAATGCATGCTGTCAGACCCAATTGCTCATGCCAACAGGCACTGAAAGGATCTGCACCATAACCTTTTTCCCAGTGCAGTGAAACAGAGTCTTGGTGTTCAATGCAGCAACAGTATACCCCTGGGACAGTGCTGTAAGAGAGTCATTGACCTCAGAGCTTAGAGGGCAGAGCTCAGCTACATCAGTACAAAAGGTACTTTTGCTATTACAGCTGCACCCACTCTAGCAAGATCACCCCTGTAAAACATACTGGCTCTAACACACCAAACACATCTTTGTCAAACAATCATAAGCCAGACTAAATGTGCATTGTCATGAGCAACCCCTAACACTAATGTAAAGGTTCACTGCCAATAGCAGGACACCAGAAAGCTGGATGACTGATTTGGTTGGTACATCTACTGCTTTGGATCTTGAACCCATCGGCTTCTGAAGGGCAGAGCACATACACTAGCCAAACAAGCGAAGAAAGAGCATATAATACCAGTGTCAAAGCCAGGCATATAAGCATTACCCAGGTGAACATATTCGATTACAATAAAATTAGCTTTTTACTTTAGTGGAAGGCTCATTAAAAATATTCAAAATTGACTTGGAGGGGGTGAAAGAAGGCAAAGGAGACTTCCAGCACCTGAAAATTTAAACCAATTGAGTAAAACATTTAAATGAAAGCATTTGCTAGTTTTTTTTACTGGCTGAGAAATGCAACATTTTATTACGAAGTTTTTACACTCAGAAGTGAAGAATCACAGATATTTCCTTTGGAAACTTCCATTTTGATTTTTAAGAGTGCAGTGTGTTACACAAAGAGTTGGAAACAATTTTGACCAGCTGTGGACTGAGATGAGAATCAGATGTTCCAAACAGTTACATGTAGGCACACACATTAGCATGCATCACCTTCTACTCCTCACTCCTTCCTCCTTCATTTACCTAGCCTTTATTAGGGAAGTAAGTATGGTCATGCTCTTGCCCACACTTAGGAAGGTCTTTCATCTTGTCTTGTTTTAGGTCTCCTTAACACTAATTGGCTCCTGTCTCCTCACACAGCTGTTCATTTGCCCCAGAGAGGTAAACAGTGTAAAAGACAATGACCATATATATTAGCCACACTATTAGTATGTTTAATAATAAAAACCCAAACCAGGCAACCTTCCTTTCAAGTTTGCTTGGCTTCTCTAAACCCTTTTTTCCACATTAGTCTTTCACTTTATCAGCAAGAAAAGCAAGCCATCATGGGCACTTCTATACCTTTTTACTGCAGAAAATCAATTAAACTTTCTCTAGCTAGCAAATGAGACTCCCCAGCCTCTTTGTTTTCAGGACAATCTAGGAACAGGGAACCACAGTATTTCCTTACTTTTCCCTGGAACACGCTTCTAATATTGGTGAATGAAACTGGACGCAGAGCAGAAAGACCAAGTTATCTGTTGACAAGACATGGACAGTTCAATGACTAATGTAGTACCAGGAAACAAAACATGCAAGCTTTGGGAAGCCACTTATCCTCCCCTCACCAGTGCTTGGACAACTTCCACAGAGAGGCTGAGAAACTCGACTCATGGGTGAGGGCATAAGCTGTTGAGGGCAGGGACTGTCTTTTGTTTTGTGTTTATGTGTTACTAGGATAGCGGAGATGCCTAGATGCCAAAGACATAAGAATAACGATGATAAAGCCCATTGTGTTTTATAGATAAAAGCAGCACTAGTCATGCAAAGGTAAATTGTCATTACATTACAGCCAAAAACACCTTTTCTCTGGCAACAGCTTATTCCTTTTGCTCCAAGCCTTCAACATACAGGAATATTCAGGAGCTGAATAGGGTTGGTGGATCAGAGACTGCAGTTCCCATTTGTCTCCACCAGTGAGGTAAGCAACCTACCTTTATCTCCCAATTTCCACAGAGCAGCTTCCCTGGCCATTTCTGCAGGGCTGACCCAGCCCAGACACCTCTGGCAGAAGCCTAGCTGTTCACCCTAACCTTGCTGCCTCACCTCCTGGAGTCTTCTTTAAACACTATCTCCACCATATTGAGACACAAACGGCCAAGGCAGATGTACAGGGGGGACAAACTACTGCCTGCATTCCTCTGCAGATTCTGCAGCATGTTCAAGCCCCCTGTCACACTCCTACAGATAAAACCTTTGCTAACAGCAATCCCTAGAGCAAAAACCTTTTCTCCAATTTATTCAGCAGCTCTACTAGTGCTGCCTGTCTTTCAGATATCTAGAAATGTGGCTAGTTCACGTTCCACACCTGTGAGACTTAAGGAACAGGGCTGTCCCCTGCAACATTTCTTTATAGCTGTCCAAAAACTCTATTCTACCTGTGCTCAGCCACATCAGTCCACCACCCTGTGGGGCTCAACTCTTGCCAGGGAATCAAAGACCAACTCACTTTTTCACACCTGTACCCAGTTCCCAGGGGACAGGAGGACCCAGGAATCACAGCCTTTGCCCAGCCACAACAGATTTCAAAGCTGTCTGCCTGTCAGCACAATCTGGTGAGCAGAATGGAGACAGAGGCTCACTCATCACATTACAGTGCCTCTGGAGATGCAGAAACCCAGGCTGCTTCGGAGCCAGTCTTGTAGGCAAACCCCCTTAAAGACCTCAGGGCTGCAAACTCTTTTCTCCATACGCTATGGCTTTAACACACAACTCTCTTCAGCCCTTCTGCCTTCACTCTCCCTTTCCTTTAATGCCTCCTTTCCCGTTCTCTGCTCCTTTCCTATTCAACAGTCAACCTCTACCTCTTTTCTTTCCCTTCTTTCAGCAGCCTGCCTTCTTCCCATTTCTTGCCTTCCCCCTTTATCTCCCTTCTCCCATCCTTTTTCCCCCAACTCCTCCCTCTTGCACTTCAACACATCTGTTTCTAATCTTAGGCATCAATTGGAAACAATAATGCCTTTTTATTTTAAAATCTGAATGTCAAATGCCCAAGAAAATCAAAACAGAGTTAAACAAATTTGACACTATGCCTGAAACAAAGACATTTTGTTCACCTTGTTTTGCCAAAGAGATTCAAGCCCCTCACTAGTTCATTGCTTAAAAGCACTGCCCTCTTTAAACAAGAAAAACACATTCCAAAAGGAGTCCGTTTACCCACCACTTTTAAAAAATGAATCCAGATATTAAAAGATCTCTGGCTATCAATCTGCTAATAAATAAAGCAATAAGAAAAGCATCAGAACCCAAACGACACTGAAATTGGAGTTTTCCATAAAAGTTTTTTCTTCACAAATCCCTTCCTCTAGCTCATCGGAAATGAATTTCAGTTGTGCAGAGAGGGCGCATGGAAGTTTGATTATAAACACTAAACAAAATCAAAAACCCAACCTACCTAAAAAGAGAATTGAAAGTGCAGACATTCCGTCTCCAAGCAAGAGAGACTTTTCCTCCCTTTTTCTTCCTTTCTCCCAGGAACAGCAGGCAGACCTGCACAGGATTCAAAGGAACGCCTCTGGAATGCACAGAGTGTAATTGCATCCATGTGCCAGAAAAATAACCAACTTGACTCTTTCTTCCCTTCTGCTATTCATCTCCTTGTCCATATTCCATCCAGATTCAGCAAGAGCTTTTAGATCTCCGCAGCTGGTAATTCAGGCCCTTCAGTTTCTGGAAAAGAAGAGGCAGAGGCAGTGCAGCAAGGAGTTCATATCTACGGCAGCATAGAACAATTTTGCTTGTCTGAAAAGAAAAGGAGAGAAGCACAGGAAAACACTGTGCTCAATGTTCACCACATGGCTGCCTCCCAGAAGAGCCCCTCCCTACCATCAGCTGGGATTAATAGTGAAGACCAGTCATGTGGGTGAGGTAGAGCTAATTTCTAGCAATAATATATATATTTGCCTTTGGAGGAGAAACAAGAGGATTTCTCTAGTGTCAAAACAGTTAAGTTTGGAGGGAGTAAAAATCCAGCATGGAAAAAAAATCAGATTCATCACTCAAGGGCTAGAGAGAGACTCTTGGAAAAAAGTACACATGCTCTTCAGAATGATAATCACACACACATATACGTTATCTTTATTCTCTTTTGTAGCTAGTAAATTGCAGAATTAGAGCTTTTAGTCTTACTGGAAGACTTTCTCCATTTGCTTCATGTTGGGGTTTTTCTGAGTTTCTAAGAGAGAAAAAATTCCTAAAAATTGATTTAATTATGCATTTTATCTGTGCTTCACTGACAAGAGAAAAAGCCAAATCAAGCAGATATTGGTTGTCTACGTTTAGTGACTGCTGTGGGATGCAACTTATAACTCACTTCCAAAGGCCACTTTAAGCCAGCCCGAGAAACCTTTACAGCCCATCTTCAGCTTCACCATAGTGCAGTTAGCAAGTTTTAAAAACTAGCTCAGACACTCCATTCCATTTCTGCCATCACAGCAGTGAAGACAAACATCTCAGTTTCTGTAAGAAGGATCAAATGTGGTAGGGAGTAGAGTTCACAGAAGATTACTTTGACCATCTGAGCTGAGCCAGCCAGAACAGAACTTGTTTATTATTTAGTAAAACATGTATAAATCTTGCTGCTCACAGCAAGGCCATGGAAACAGTGATGTTTTACATGTGTGCATATAAACAACTGTACTGATGTATTGCACTTTACATATATACAAGTCACGCTTGCACCTTTTACATCCATGTGCCCTAGGATACATTTGCTTTTCAGAAAAGCAAAGCACTCTCAGCTAGCCTACTTGGGTATTAACAGAAGAGTAACACTGGCTACCTGAAACTCTACAGTGGCTGTAGAACCATTCAAGAAGCTGAGTAAGCATTTGGGTGGCTATCCTGTGCTGATCTGGGTGTTGCCACAGCTATACAGATACCAGGACCCCAACTAGTTAGTTTAAATCTGCTAAGGTGCATCTACATAAGCAGTAACTGCATATTTTTCTAAAACACAAGCATACTTACAAATAAATGTCCATCATACACAGCTGATCGCAAATCAAACACATTTACTCATCTTGTGCAACTTGGGGCCCGAAGGAAAGCTTTGGAAGACAGAACAAAAATCCCTTCCCTTAGGAACACTTACGAAAGTATTTCTAAGACCTAAGAGACAGAGCAGGCCATATGCAAGGCCACCAGCCTGTGGTTTGAGACCTCAGACTTCAGTTTCAAGCTCTCATTAGCTCCCTGCGTGACCCCATCTACATGTAGTTTCTATATACCTCCCTTGTAAAATCAGGGAGAGCATGCTACTCTCCCTCTTCAGGAATGAAAACAAATACAGCAATCTTTGTGAAGTCCACAATGAGGGGCACTATGCTTAGAAGCTCTATAGGAATTCAGTACCTTAGCTCTTCATTACAGTACAAGCTTTTCAAGCATTTACTGGAAAACAAGAAACACTGCTACCCTGGACAAAAATCAGACCCTAGATTCAGGTAGATCCCAGAGAGAAATAACATGGATAAAAATTATCCTTCTACATTCTGTTTCATTAAAGTTTAATTTGCCCTCCCTAGCCTCAGACAGAAACAAAAGCAGCATTTGGCTCCTCCTCTCCAAAACAGCCGTTCTCTCTGTAACAGTGCGAAAATGTTTTAAACAGCATATTCAACTAATATAGACTGATGATACAATAGCAGTCATTATCAGGTGAATATAACAGTTCCGACAGAGCAGCTGCATATATCCCATCTACCCATATCATAAGAGCCAATTCCTTCAGTTCCCTACACACTTGACCAAACAGGCTGCTGGTTTTCAAACAGTTGAGTGGATCTGAGAGAACATCATCGATTTTCAGTGCAGGACATAAATCAATGGAGAAAAGTGCATTTAATCCCTTCCCCCGCTCTCCAGAAGCCAAGCAGCACTGAGCTTGTCTCTCTGCATTACGAGTCTGACAGAAGATGTCCCAAGCTACACTGTAAATACCCAGCATGCTGCTTTGCTTTAATAGAATCAATGCATTAGAAACGAAGACAGAGAGAAGTGTCATCACCCTGCACTCACTGCCCAGCCTCCGCTGAAATCCACAGAGCTGGGACATTTGAGAGAGTACACAGAGGAGGAGAGGGATGTAGAGAATGAAAGAGGAAGCCATGCATGCAAAATTTCCTCTTTATCATCTTGGACAAGCCATTCCACAGCCTGTTCTCACATTGCATTCAGTCCCTTCAGGAAGCTCCTCAAGAGCAAGTTACGCCTTGAGGTTCAGTGGGGATTCTCCCTCTGGTGTTCATACCTATTATGGCAAGGGTATCTCACTTGTTTGCATAACAGTTTCAGCAAGAGGCTAGTAAGGGCTGGTTCAAGTACATATAAGGACACCCATACTGCTCACACCAGCAGCACATCCTGTCTAGACCTCTGCTGATTGTGTTTGGGGGAATAGGCCCTATCTGCAGCACATTATTTTTCCAGAAAAGGCAAATTCTTCTAGTAGGCTTATGAATGCTTTCACCTGTTACTGTACAATGCTAGCACAGCATGGGAGATGTGTATCATGCACTTCTCAGCAGGGAGAATAGTGAAATAGAGAAACTGATGGTTGATAACATAAGCATTAAGGAAAAAGGCTTCATAAAAAAACCTTTATAAAATGAGTTAGATTTTCAGGGTTCCTGTACTGCTGTTGACAAGCCCTGACTTTTAAGTCTGGGGTAGGTTCAGATTAAAATAGCTGTATACAAACAGCTGTAGAAATCCTCATGGGCCACAGACCAGCTTTTTGGTGGTCTTCCCTGTTGCAAGTCTCAGTTTCAGCCCCTTTCACATTTGCACAAGTAGCCCCTTTCAGGAAAACATGGTCTCTTAAATCTGCATGCCCCAAGAGCCTGCCCAGCACACATTAGCTTGTTCCTGCACCTCCACTGGTAGAAGTATGTGAGGGGGATCCTTTCTCTAAACCCTACTAAATTTCTTTTTGGATCAGGTTATTCCTTTCATCTTGCTCTTCCTGCTCCAGGGAAACAGCTCCTTGACATGTAGCTGCCCCCCATTGCCGCAGAGCTGCACACTATCTTCTCAACACTAAATGGTGCTGCCTATGCCCAGCAACAGCAGCTCTAAAGCCCCCATCACCCAAAATATATCCAGAAGCTGTATTTTCTTCCAGAACTGTTATTACATAGCAGTAACACAGACTATTGCTACTCAGCTACCCTCTTGTGTTGATTCTTTAATAAGTCCATTCTCTGAGACTCCCAATACAAACTTACCTCACACAGTTTAAATTATTTAAGCAGTTTATTGATATGGCCAGTAGAAGAACAGGTTTTATCCACCAGGAGAGCCAGAGAAGCACTTTGAATCTCTTGAGTAAAACCATGTTGTGTTCAGCTTTTGGCTTTGCAACTGAAAAAAGCACAAAAAATATTCTGACAAAGGAAAGGCAAACCACACAAACAAACCAGTGTCCGAACAAGAAAACTCAAAACAGACAACAAGGAATATTAGGGTAGAAAGTAAAACCCTTCGCACAGATTACTTTTCACAATAAGCCACTGGTGGAAAGGTTGCTCAGATACTGACTTAAAAAGCAGTTGTTGTTTAAGAAGCTCTCATCTCTCAACTAGCCTTCAATAATTGATCATAAAAGCACTATTAGTCATTTAGTATTAGTAAAAAGTCTCACTTCAACAAGCCTTAGCACTCACAGTGTCAGTAAATGTATCTATCTCTGAGAAAAAAAAAAAACCACCAACCAAAAAGCTTCTTAAAGCTCTAGTTAGTTTGAAGTGCCTCCATTTGCACAGCTTGTTACTCCAACATCTGTTTTTATGTTTGTTCTATAGGAACACACACTTACTACTTTTTTGGATAGTCTTATTTTCTATATAAGCCTGTAACTATACTCTGCATTTATGCTTTGAGGAATAAAAAAAAAAAAAAAAGAGTTCCTCAAACACAGGAGCTGTATTTTTAATCTTTAAGTTGTTGCTACAGTAGCTAAGAACTGAGCACAACATAAACTACTTAAATTATACTATTGATTTTATAGTAGAAAACAAACCAGGTCAAAACCTACAAGGTCTCATTTTCATTAACACCAAAAGCTTTAAATTTTTTTATAATACAAGCCTTTTGTTTTCAAGGAAAGCCCTAACAGAACTTTCCCAAGAAGGAAAACATCCCCTCAACAGAAACATTACCAACCAGTCTAATAAAACACAGAAACATCCTAAGCAAACAATAACCTCTCCTTACCTTCAGAGTTCAGTCCCCTTCTCACAAAAACAAAAAAAATCATAAACCAAGACTGCTGGATTTTATTCTGTTTCCTCTGAAAAACCTGCCAATGAAACACCATGCTTTAATTTTCTAGCTGTGAGATTGGAAAACTGGCAAGTAAAGCTTATCTATGAATCACAGGTATGAAGCATATGAGATTACACAGGGAGGGTCAGAACACAGGTGTGGAGCATGTAAGATTAAACAGGGAGGGTCAGAACACAAGTTAAAAAGCAGGAGAGAAGGGTGGTTGGTTTCTTAGGTAGAGGAGTTATGGTAGAAAAAAATTTAATGGTTTGTAAGCTTGAAGGATTTTTAATTCTTTTTTTAATATACATTTTAATATATATGTAACAAATAATGACAGAAAATGTTGGAGGAAAAGCTAATAAACTAGCTAGGAAGAAGTACATATGTGAAAGTAATGGCTAAAAAAAAGAAAAGAAGAAAAGTTGTTTGCTGATTTTACTGCAATGTAAGTAAAAACCATGGTGTATTTAATACTTTAGTGTAAGTTTATTTTAATTTAAAAAATGCTTTTAATA